TAAAACTAAAACATTTCAAACTCCTATTTAAACTCATTTTGGATTTGTTTATAATTTCTGTTGAACAGAAATTTTTGAAGGGGGGAAGTGTGGTACGGCTTGGTGTGCGCCTTCCCTTATGAAAGTGAAGTAGATCCAGGAGTGCACAAAAGTTGACCATGTCAAAAGCGTTTGATAATACAAGTGTGACCAAGACTATCGTTTTTGGGGGCATTTGTTGACTAAAACCGTCCATGATTTAAAAAAATCTGAGTTGAAAATGCCGTTATGGTGGAATGCCGCGATCGAAAGCCATGTTGTTGATCGGCCTGGGGTAATAACTTGGTAAGGGTTGGATGGTTCAAAGATTATCAACTTTTGACAGCCATGCCTTAAATAGACACTGGGCGATATGAGTCTGGATGTTTCAGATCTTGTTTGCTTTCGAAGGTGGTTCCACTTCAATTTTTTTCCAATTTCGGTGAATTTTTATTCAAAGTAAAACGAAGGTTAAATATGTTTGTTAAATTTTTTTTGCTATTTGTCCGATATGTTCAATGTGGACTGTTCATAGACCATTTGGTCCTAATGCTTTTGCCGCTTTGATATTTTTGTCGGTCTCTAGAGGGGTAAAGCTAGTGAGCTTTCGAGGTTTTGCTGAATGGTGGTAACAAGTCAGGGGGAATTCTCGCCATTTCTGTTTTATTTTTATTTTTTCGAAAAAGTGGACCTGATCTCTTGGTTAATGGTCTATTTGTGTTTGGGTCAGATGGGTTAAAAACTTTGAATTGATCTTTGTTGAGCGAGAAAGGTCCGTTCTGCGGAGCTTACAACGTGCTGCAATGGTTTTTTTGCTAAAATCTCTATCTCCTTGGTAAAACTTTTCCAGTCTGCTTTTTAAAAAAAAATTGTTTTAATCCAATCTCCTTGGTAAAACTTTTCCAGTCTGCTTTTTTTTAAAAAAATTGTTTTAATAATTGTTTTTAAATCAATCCTCCTGTGTCAACTTTTCTCCAGTTGATAAACCTTCATGTTCAAATGTTGTCCCAGTTTCTATCAAGATCGACAACAAGAGGTCCGATAAGACCAGGAGAACCACGACTCAACAGGGCGCAGAAGTTGTCTCAGATGCAGCTGGACTTTTACCGGTCTCCTCAGAAGACGACCAGGTGACAGAAACCAACGTTACACCACAGTCCTGTCCATTGACTGTAGTGAAACAAACCCCGGATTCTAGCCCCAACAAGTCGGCAGATACCCCGCAGAAGATAACTCCCGAATACACAGCAGATCAAGACGGAAACGAGTCTTCTTCTTCGAGAACCTCAGGCCGCAGTAAAAGACAGACAGAATTTTACGGCAGCGCCATTCACCATGCAGTTAAAGAAGTGACAGAAGCGTCAACTCCAGGATGTTACGGTGGGCTAACAATCCCGGTGTCGGCGGCTGAGTTATCTCCATCCCCGTCTCCAAAAAAAAAGAATGAAAGTGTTCAAAAAGAACAAGATACAACCTCAGAAATCGGATGACTAGCTAAAACTAAAACATTTCAAACTCCTATTTAAACTCATTTTGGATTTGTTTATAATTTCTGTTGATCAGAAATTTTTGAAGGGGGGAAGTGTGGTACGGCTTGGTGTGCGCCTTCCCTTATGAAAGTGAAGTAGATCCAGGAGTGCACAAAAGTTGACCATGTCAAAAGCGTTTGATAATACAAGTGTGACCAAGACTATCGTTTTTGGGGGCGTTTGTTGATTAAAACCGTCCATGATTTAAAAAAATCTGAGTTGAAAATGCCGTCATGCTGGAATGCCGCGATCGAAAGCCATGTTGTTGATCGGCCTGGGGTAATAACTTGGTAAGGGTTGGATGGTTCAAAGATTATCAAATTTTGACAGCCATGCCTTAAATAGACACTGGGCGATATGAGTCTGGATGTTTCAGATCTTGTTTGCTTTCGAAGGTGGTTCCACTTCAATATTTTTCCAATTTCGGTGAATTTTTTTTCAAAGTAAAAGGAAGGTTAAATATGTTTGTTAAATTTTTTTTGCTTTTTGTCCGATATGTTCAATGTGGACTGTTCATAGACCATTTGGTCCTAATGCTTTTGCCGCTTTGATATTTTTGTCGGTCTCCAGAGGGGTAAAGCTAGTGAGCTTTCGAGGTTTTGCTGAATGGTGGTAACAAGTCAGGGGGAATTCTCGCCATTTCTGTTTTATTTTTTTTTCGAAAAAGTGGACCTGATCTCTTGGTTAATGGTCTATTTGTATTTGGGTCAGATGGGTTAAAAACTTTGAATTGATCTTTGTTGAGCGAGAAAGGTCCATTCTGCGGAGCTTACAACGTGCTGCAATGGTTTTTTTGCTAAAATCTCTATCTCCTTGGTAAAACTTTTCCAGTCTGCTTTTTTTTAAAAATTGTTTTGAGAAGAGCGAACATATAATCTTCTGCAATTGGAAGGTTTATTAATATTGGGAGATGGTATGAGCCTAGCTTTAAAACAGTAAAACGCTAGTTGGGGTTCAAGTATGGTATCATATCAAAGCTTAATTGTTTTTGAGTCGGATTGCTATCACTTTGAAATTTTCAACTCTAGGGGTACTTTTGATAGCTTTGAGTTTTCTATTTCTAACTTTTTTCCTCGCAATTTTTGTTTAGTTTCTTCGGCTATTTATCGCTTCATAAATTCATTTTTATTGTCTGTTAATGGTAATTGTCTGAATAGGCATGTTTTTCAAAATGAACTTATGCACATAAAGACAAACGTATAATCTTTTCGACATTTTTGCGATGGTAGCAGCCATTGTTTTGATAATTTTGTCAAAATGTTTGTGTTGTTTCGCAACTGGTTTTAAGCTTCGCCCTCTGTCTGAAATGCATATGTGGCCAAGATTTAACGTCTGACTTATCCGCCATAAAAAGGCAGTTCGTTTTTTCGCAGAACATAAACAAGATTTTTCTGCCTATTTTGTGTCCTAAAAGTCCTAAAGTTTTCTATTGAGATATGTGGTTTCCTACAACCGGTTAAGTTAAGCAGGCTTCAAAAATATAACATTTCAAGGTTTCTGAATAAAGTTTGTTGTAGCGACTCCTGAAAATGGGTAGGAACTGTCTAGTCGGTGGTGTTTAAGTTTTTTTGCGCAGGTATCAGGTACCACAAATAATCATCGGAATGGCTCAAGTGATATATCATATTAAGGACCGATAAGTCGGTTTTTTCTTCAAAATTTTCAAAAAGTTGTCAGTGTCAAGAAAAACCCGCTTGAACTTCTTTTGTTCTTTCGATTAATCCTTTTTTTAACTATGGTTTCGTCTAAAATCTGTCTAATTTTGTCTTCTGTTGGTCATTATTAGCAGGTTTCTAAATTAGTTCATTCAAGATAACTTAATCCAAAGCTTTTTTTCGATAAAATGCTTTTTTTGCTACTTTTTAAAACTGAAAAGGCTTTAATTTTGCCTATAAGTCCTTAAATTTCAAAGAGTCAATTCAATTGTTCAAAATAATTTTGTCTTGGTTTTCAAAAATTCTCTTGATCTATATTTTCCGACCTCGAAGTCAGATGGAAGTTTTTTTCCGAGCTTTTTTTTTTTAGCACGAGTAGTTATCGTCAGAATTATTCGAGTGATCAGAATTGGTCGGCTTGAAATGTTTGCTTCGTTAACGATTTTTTAAAGAATTACCCTTTAAATTCATTCATTTTGAGCTTAAGTTGCTTTATAAATTACAATTTTGTTAATGAAGCCATTGGTAGTTTTAAAATCTAGTTAAGTACTCTTCCCTCGGCGCAAAATATACTTTGGAAATTTGAGGAAATTATTTACTAGGAAAAGTTAACTGTGGTCGTAACTATATACGCTACTTGCACAGCAGCAGGCTAATCTTGTTTCAAGTATTAACGTTTTTCACACAGATATTTATTGTTTCGTAACGAAAGTAACGGAATATTTGTGCTCGGGGTGTTGTTTTTTCAGACAAATTTCGACTTTTAACTAGCCATTTTTGAAGAATTTTTTTAATATCTTTCGAAAGCTATTGCTGTCCTAAGCTTAAATTTGAAAAGATATTTCACCTGTGATTGTTTTTTGTAAAGTTATGGTGGTTTGAAGATTGCCATTTTGACCAATTTAAGACAATTAACGCGCGATTTGTTTGGCGCTATTAACGCGTGAGCGGAGAGTTAATCCGTCTTAGAAATCGTTCAAAATTGATTGAAAGGAGCTTATTTACCATAATTGATTTGTTACAGGGAGCGAAGTTATCACTTTGTTCTTTATATGGAGTTTGGCTGAATGATATTTACAAAAAATTTCAAATAAAAAAAATTCATATTATATTACAGTTAATTTTTTCATATTATTACTGCTCCATAGACCTTAAAAGCCAGTCGGAATTTTCAGGGCTTTGCCCTGATACGAGTAGTCTCGTTTAATCTGCAATCAAATACGAGTTGCATGTCACTTTTTGTTCCATAATTGAGCCCAAGAAGATCTAAGAAAAAGTTGAAAATTTAACAACCCCCCGCCCCACTTAGTCCCAATTTATAATTAGTCGAATCGATAACATTTTGCTGTGACAATGTAAGTAATGCTGGCCCTTGCTTAGCGTGTTTTTTTTCGTAATTGCTCAATTGCTTTTTTATTGCATCGTTTCATTGCGCTTACATTTAAATTTTTCAGTTATAACTAAGAGTAACGAACGTAGTGAAGACTCTTATATAGGTCTTGCTGATTTTCTTATAATTTTTTTTCAGCAATAAAGTCTTAAAATTTGTTCACGCTCAATTTTGAGTTTTCGCGATTTGAATTGTGATTTCTTTTTAAGCTCAGTGCATTTCTATTGTTAAAAGGAAGGTAAACTCCACTGTCGGACAGCAAAATTGTATAGTCCACGAAAAACGTGATTGACTTAATTTTAAAAATGGTTATTAGTTAACAGATTTCCCAGAGTTCATTAGCTTTTTTCCAACTGTCTGTTGGCTTTCCAATGTTTTAAATTTTTCACAGTGTCTGTTTATTTGCAGTAGCGAATGGCCAATCGAATGGAGATGTTAAAGAAGCTGACGAACGCGAGAAAAAAGACGGAGAAGATATGTTTGACATGGAACAGGCGTGAAGAAAGAAGAGAAAGAAGATGAAATCCTCAACCCTCTCATCTCGAAAGTAAACTACAAAAAGCTCTGTAGTGACAATTGTGACTAGAAAAAATACAAAATAACTCTAAGGAGGGGCTTACCGTGAATGTTTCCCGGAAGCTGAAAACAACCAGAAATAGTTAGTTTATTTAGCTAGAAAATGTGATTCGTAACTAAGACTCGCTCTTGAATATTTCTCATACTATCTTGTCTCTCAAAAAACTGATGTTATGTTGTTATTATATGACTGAGTTGGAAAAAAAGACCGCAAAAGAATGATTTCAGTTTGTTTGGCAACAATAAATGCTCTAAGTATTCTGTTTTGGCCTCCTGTCAGTCCTTTCTCAATCAAGTTGTACTGAAAGAGATTGGCTGACACCTGTGTTAATATAATTGGAATATGTATCCTTCCAACTCTGTTGTGGATGATACCTTTGAATATGATTATGATGTTGACGATGCTTAACTGAAGATATTGGGCTGGATTTGTATACAATATTGATTTTCAACGCAGATTAAATTTTACATGCCAATTTTTTACGTTTCGCCAGCCTAAAAGTAAGTGCTAGGACACAGCTATAAGGTTTAACAAGTCACGAATGACATGAAATTCATAGACAACAATAATTTTGATCAATATCTAATGATTTTCTTTGCTGTTTTATTTGAAATTTTCAAAGTCAAATTAAATTTAGACAAGCGCGATTATATGTCACGTTTTGAAAGCATGGTCTATTTTTTCAGTTGCAAATGTAGTTAGTCTTCTTTCTGGAACTGGAATGTGTTCAATTTTCCCAATTCCCAAACAGTTGCGATTCGTCAGCTCTGTCATTGGAAAAGACAAGACAATCATAGCGCCCCAATTAACTCATCCAGCAAAGAAAGAGCAGCTATGAGCGATAACGAAGAGACACGCTCAAACCGGCCGAAGCAAGCCGAGGAACATCGCGAGATGTCCTCGACTGTACCGAGCACAACAAGCAATGATTCTAATGACCATGGTGCTACAGAAAACTCAGGAAGGGTCGAATCGTCAGCCAACAGTTCCTCTAAAGAAGAAGTTAAAGACTCAAAAGTTGCCACCGCAAGTAGTACTGTCGTTGGGAGCACTGTTGAAGCATCGACATCGTCAGCAACGGGATCCAAGGTAAACGATGAGACAACAACGCCAAAAAGGGTATCCATTTGCCTGCCAGAGGAGAAAAGGATATTCGACAAGAATACCTTCTCTATAACTGCCCCATCGCTCACTGTCCCGACAACATCAACATCTTTGTCTGCCGTGAGCAAAAGTGCGGGCAAACCTACAATAGAGGCACTTTCCTTGTCTACATATGCTGATGCGCTCATGAGCGGAACCAATGAGTACACAAGTAAGATTTACATTTTTTGGACTCAAATAAATATGTCAACAACGCATCAAGGATAGCCGGTCACTGTGCAAATAGCACAGAATGTTCCGACCATTATCTTAAAAAATAATGGAAGTGTGTTTTTTTTCAATTTAGTGTGTTTCTTTTTCTGCGTCTTGTGATAAAAAGATCTGGAAGAAAAACTAAAGTAAAGATCTGAACGAAAACTAGAAAATTCGAAAGTCATAATAAAATAAGAAAATTGGACACGCTTTTGAACAAAAAAAAGAGTAGAAAAGAAAAAATAACTGCCGAAATTTTTTGAAGTTATTGAGTCGAGTTTTTACGGCCTAAATTAAGCATAAATAAGCTATTGTAAACCCGCTTGCTCGCTTTAATCGCTCGAAATCAGAGGAAAATTAAAAAATTTCAAACACGGGATTTTTTTTGAAATGTTTTAATGTCGTTCGAATCACGACTGAAAGGGCTTTAATATGAGAACACTCAACTCTCAACGATGATTGTTTGTGATAGCTGATATGCAAGGAAAAAACCAAAACACACCCGAATACAAAGGTCCATCCCATTGTCAATGGTCGGAACAATAAACTAGATTAATGAATGAACGAACCCAGACCTAGAAAAAGATAAGTTGAAGCAAAGATAGCCCGTTTTTATAGTAGAACAAGGATTGCCGGTTGCTGTGCAAGTAGCACAGTGTGTACCGACCAGATTCATAAAAAGTAGAATTTCAAAAAAATATCTATTTTCAACTTTTCTTACTCTAAAAAACAGTAAATTTCAATATAACGAGAGTTACTTGCTCGAAGTTCGATTAAATCTCAAATATTTCAAACCAGTTTTCTCTACACTGGGAAAATTTTTTGAAAAATTTTAAATGTCCATTTGATGATTATTCGTGGAACCTGATTTTGCGAGGAAGCAAAGAGAAAGAAAAAACTAAAATATCCGAATAAAAAGCGCCTCCCTACTTTCAATGGTCGGAACAGTGGTAAGAATAGCTAAAGTATTGCGTTTAAGTCTCTAGAAGAATTTAATTGAATGGCCAGCCTCTCTTCTCAATTTTATCTGGAAACCGAGAGTTTTCAGATTTTTTTAAAATCTAAAAGTACTTGAAATCCATCGTACTCAAAGTCGGGAAGAAAAAACGGACCGCACGCCACAGTTTCTCGCACCCAGGGTGTGGTCGGAACAATAAAACATGGGCTATATTCTCATTACTTACTCTAGACGGAATATATTTGTTCGTCTGAAAGAAACATTGTTAGTTAAGAGTACAAGAAACCTGAATATTCTGTCACTCTCTTCGAAAGCCGGAACAACGGTGACATAAGATGTCAAGGTAACTCCTTCTTGCTGCTGTTTCAGGCGTTACGCCTACATTCGGCCCATTAACAACTACTTCGTCTGAATCTGGGATCCGCCAGCAGTTCAGTTTACCTAGTCCGACCAGTCGAGGATCAGACCGGGACGCGGATAATGAAGAAGACCAAGTTATTGAATGGAGTCCCTCGAATAGGTTCATTAAAATGGCTCAAGAGGTCGGGCGGGGTAGTTTTAAAACAGTCTACAAAGGTCTTGATAGAGATACAGGAGTTGACGTAGCGTGGTGTGAGTTGCATGTCCATAAATTGACTCGAGTTGAGCGCCAGAAGTTCAAAGAAGAAGTCGAGATGTTGAAGACTCTCCAACATCCGAACATAGTCAGATTCTATGATTCGTGGAGCGTCGACGTCAATGGTCGGAAGTGTATTGTAATGGTAACAGAATTGATGACTTCAGGAACCCTGAAAGCGTATCTGAAACGATTCGTAGGCGTTCAAATCAAAAATAAAGTTTTAACTAATTGGTGCAGGCAAATTTTGAAAGGTTTGCATTACATGCACACAAGGGAAATGCCGGTGATACATAGAGACCTGAAATGTGATAATATCTTCATCACAGGAACCACTGGACTTGTAAAAATTGGGGATCTCGGGCTGGCGACCTTGAAAAACAAGTCGTTTGCAAAAAGTGTGATTGGAACTCCCGAATTTATGGCTCCAGAAATGTATGAAGAACGTTATGACGAAAGCGTCGATATCTACGCTTTCGGAATGTGTTTGTTAGAAATGGTTACCGGAGAATACCCGTTTAGTGAGTGTCAAAATCCGGCTCAGATTTACAAGAGAGTAACAAACGGTATCAAGCCGCAATGTCTAGAACGAGTTTCAGATCCAGTCATTCTGGAGATAATCGAAGGCTGCACGCTGTCTGAACGCAATTTGAGATACACTGCCAAAGATCTTCTCTTACATGAATTTTTCGAAGACGCGACTGTTAAAGTTGAGGTAATTCAACAGTCTGAAAAAGACAGAGGCGAAATTCAGGATGGGGGCAATATTATTCAATTGAGACTGAAAACGGAAGATCTGAAAAAGAAGAGGGGAGGTCACCAAATCGGCCATAGTCACAATGAGGCTATTCATATAGACTTTGATCTGAGCAAAGACATGCCTGCACAAGTGACAAATGAAATGGTACACTCGGGATTATTGGATGAAATGGACCAGAAAAAAGTAACTAGGGCAATTGACGAGGCTGTTAATATAATGAAAAAGGAACAAAATGCTACTGCTAATGCGGGGGGAAACAGTGGTTCTTTTTCTATTCAGCCAACCACTTCCTCTAATAATTTTGCCACAAACAATGCGAATACAGAGCCAAATAGTAGCATAAATACATCAGCGGGAGGCTCATTAATAATGGATAGTAGCAGTGGCTCAGCTAGAAATCCTCGCCATCATCATCAACCATCTTTTCACTCCAAAACGCCCCCGCAAATCTATTCTGTACACAGCTCAACGTCCAAAGATCAGAGCAGTATTGCGTTTAATGCGAGATTGAGTGACCAAGGATTGCCTCCTAGGGGACCTCTGAATTTCTCAGAATCATCTTTAACGGACGATCCGAATTCAAATGTGGTGACAGTCTTGTCAAATGCTAATGGGACTGTTGTTAGCACTTCACTGGCAGCAAGTACAGTGGGAGTTATTGTTCCCGAAAAGAAAAAGAGTAAAGCGAAGAAAGACAGAATAAAAGCGATCAAACTTCAGATAATCAGGTCCAATTCACATGAAGGCGCAATGGGCAGTGGGAGTATGAACTTGACATCTACAGATGCGGCAATGATAGAATGTGCATTCGAGGCGTACAATCAGAAAAACGTGCAATTTAAATTTAGCCTGGATGAGGACACACCCGTGGAGATATTCGAGTCATTGCTAGCTGCCGACCATCTTATTCTGTCACAAAAAGACGAGTTTTTTGTACAGCTAGAAATGTTAATCAAACGAGAAAGGCCATCGTATTCAGTTGAAGATCCCGAAAAAATTCCAAGTCCAGCGAAGCCGAGTGAAATCACAGAAGAGTCTCAAACTCCAGTAAGAACGGGACGCTTTCAAGTGAGCAAAGTTCAAGTTCCTTCTACTTCAATTTCTGCTGAAGAAAACGAGGAAAGTAATGAGAGCTTAAATGAAGTCAATTTACCTTCCCACAGTGTGCAAACACCAGGCATAAGAGCAAGCACTTCAGTTTCTACGCTCGAGTCACAGAACGCAGTAAGGCCTAAATCTAATTTAGCAGACAATTCAAGCCAGCTACAGAACAACGAACAAATTCTAACGTTCTCAAATCCGGTTACAATGACAAGACTCAATTCGACAATGATGCCCAATAACGGAGTTTCCTCGGGACAATCACATGCGTCAGAAGAGGAGAGGGAAAGGACGTCCGCTTTTGACGAGCATATCCCTGCGATAAGTAGCAGTAACAACCCTAGCGTCAGCCATTCAGCGCACGGTAATCACACGGGTCTACATTCGATTCAAAATCATGCAGGGCCGAGTCATCAACATCATAATATGAATTATAATTATAGTCACATGCAAGACTTGCCGGGTACCTCGCAGCCACACCACGGATCCTCAAGTTCTCACAAGACCCCGGGAACAACGTCAAGACCAGGACATGGCCACCAACATACAGACATTTCGATGCTGCATCAGAAATTGATGGGCTTGCACTACTTGCAAAAAGCGCAGAGGCCTCACAACTCAGTGACGCACGCCAGCTCCAGCTCAGTTGTGCCCCCAATGTTACATGATTCCACTTTTTTAAGTGGAAGCAGCAGTTTGGGGAATGTCGGACACTTCTTTGGATCGTCGCACGGAGCCGCTCCTTTGAACAGTCAGTCAAATTTGTCCTCAAGTGGCACAAGCGGAAGTCAAGGTAATTCGAGTTCCCAGCAACAATTCATTCCTCATGCACCTCCAATGCAACAAAACAGCGGCGAAGTGTTACAAAATCAGCAATCGAGCAATCTGCATTGTAATATGAGAGCACACCGAGTGCAAAACATTTTAATGTCTTGTCAAATAGAGATCCAAAGTCTACAAATGCAGATGTATCAAGTTACATTAGTCATGGCGCAAAGTGGAAATTCTAACATGGCACTTGGTAATTTGGAGCTTCTTCAGCAAATCATGAATCAGCTGCAATTTGTGTACAACAGCGTGTATCGCAAAATGAACCAATTGTTGGAAGAGGTGGCATCGCATTCAGTCGGCAATGTTTCGGGAGCTCCGGTTGTAAATTCGAATGTTGCGGGAGCGACATCTTCGAGTGTACAGCAACGGAGTGACGAAGAAGCGTTATCGGAACATAGCGTGGAACCTTTCAGAAGCATGGCTCAATTATCTCAAAATGTCAGCACTCATACGGTGAACACCTTTACTAGTAGCAACCAGAGTAACATATCTTCGGCTAGTATTCAACAGTCCAACTTGTCAGCCAATCAGATGCGCTATCAGTCTCTGGAGTCATTAACCAATCACAGCTCAGCTCATAGCACTACACATCGATCATCTGGAAATACTTCTCATGGCTCAGTTGGAAACCAGTTTTCAAGTCAGATGAGTCAAATTTACGGTACTCCAAGTACTCAAACCGAGAGACATTTGGCTGGAACAAGTCAAGAAGGTTCCACTACGAATAGTAATCCGTCAACCATAACAAGCACAGAGTCGCAAGCGATTCCTCCAGTGACTTTGCAAGCACCGATAGGCCAGAGCTGTTTAGTGATTCCGGAAGGCTCTTCGCCCGTATCAGTTGGTGCGTCAGCGACTAACAACATTACTCCTACAAAAGTGGGCAGATTTTTTGTGTCTAAAGTTGCGGATAAAAAGGAATCATCAGATGTTCAGGTTGAAACTCCAAGTTCAGAGTCTACGATTGTAGTGAGCTCGGAAGGTTCGCAAATCGTGGCAATCGATCCTTTGCCCTCTATTAGTCTACAAGTAGTGACTGGTGACGCGGGGTCGTCACCGACATCGGTGACCTCAAAAGTTGGCCGATTCAAGGTCACATGTGTCAGCCCAATTATAGTTGACGAGGAGTCCATAATGACGAATGCCGGCGGTGTCAATGGACACTCGTCTTATAAGTCGTCGTTTCCTGTTTTAAACTCACACGATATTCATTCTCCATCGTCCTTAACCCGAGTGGCGACATCAATGGGCTCGGTTACTCCGACAGTAATTTACGAACCTCTGGATGCGAATGTGTTTCATGGTTTAGACGATTCGAGCAACGCCGGAAGTTCGGAATTTACACCTCCTGTCAGTCCTAGATCATCAGCAAATGTTATAAGCCAGCATATGACTACTGCGACTTTGGGTGCCAACGGAAGGCCTAGAAGCTTGTCCAGATCGCCTTCTAGAAGGTTCCTTGGCGGCAAGCATTCAAATCTCCTTTCTACCGTCGATCAAATGCAAACAGTTGTCGGCAGTCCGAATTTGCAAGCATATGCAAACGACAAAGACCAGCACAATTACTTTTCAATGCTCGACCGACAGCGTCAAGAGGTTGTGGAATATTCTAGAACATTTAATAAAGCAAAAGAACAACTAATGGGACGCCATAATTTGGAGCTGCAGCAATACTGGGCGAAAAGAAGTCAAGTGGGCTTGGATCCTCTAGAAAATGGAAATATTTCAAATCATGAACCTGGTGCTCCTTTTGCAGGAATAAGCGAACCGAATCATGCGTGGACAGATGATTTAACCCATCATGGTGCTAATTACAGTAACCTTGGAAACTTGACAATTTTGAGTTCCAGTCCAGATTACGGACTTTTACCTGAAATACCGACATCAACATCGGTCACCCAGCAACTTCTATCGCCTAGAATGGGTCGACCGAGTGACAAGAAAGAAACGGGAAACGATTTTGTGAAGGGGGGATTCGGGTATAATACCGTACTGCAAAATCACCCATTTATGCCTACTTTGAATCAGTTCCCGGCATTCAATTCCTTCCCCACCAATGGTTCCAGCTTTCTTTTTGGCAGTATAAGTCCGGTGAGGTACCGAAGCCTGCCTCCTAATGGAGATATCTCTCCGGCGAACACCAATCCTAAAGAGCATCAAAATAGAGTCCAAAATGGTGCGAGGCCAGCTAGTGATGGTGAACAAACTACTGTCTACCACACTTACCATTCGGGCACACCATCTGACAGACAGGTTTTCAAGCGGAAGAAAGTAAACAGCCCTAATGCGCAATCCAGAGCTTCTAAAAGTGAGCAGCAGTAAACTATTTTGTCGGAAAATGAACTTTTTTGAACAGAAACTAAACACTTTGCCATGCCATTCTAAAAATTGAATCAACGTCCGCTTTTGAAAAATGTGTTTCAGGATAAAAGCGGCTTCAATTAATACCTAAAAATAGTTTTAGTTTAATATTAACTGAAGTCGCGTTACTTTGTTTTGCATTAAGTTCAATTTATTTGCTGAAAAGATAGTAACTTATGACACTGGTTTAGGTCGATTTAATATTTTGTGTAGCTTTGTATTGATATGAAGCTGAAGCAATTTCCACATTCCTTTGGAATGAAATGTAATGTGTGCCCCTTCAATTGCATAAACTGCAAACTTAATAGTTCAATTGTGAAGCTGAGCATATGGTATCAGAACAGTATCTAGTTTGCTAGAAAACAATGCAAATGCTTCTGAAGAATTTTAAATTATATATACATGCGCCTGTTCATCGCTGCTCCATGTTTTGACATTTGACCAGATATGCTAGCGTTTTTATCACTATTTTGACAATTAAATTTAGTTCTATACTTTTAAATAGTCTGCAATTAAGAACAGTGAAAAGAGTTATGCATGTGGTCAGATATGGATCAAAGTATCACTAGAAGATCTTTTAATCAATTTATTTTTCGATTTTAAGCTTGATCAAATGCTTGGTTTTAAGCTTGTGACTTCTAATAAGGAATAGATTTTTTTCATAAACAGATTTTCTCACAAATCTATGCAATTGGCCTTGCTATATTATGAAATCTTGGTAAATTCTAAGCCCTTCATATAAGGTCTAGTGGTAAAGTGCGTGCTTTGGGACCCTATGGTCTGGTGTTCGAGTCCTGGCTGGGGCCTAGTTTTCTATATAGAATTTTTTCTGGAAAAAATTGATTTGCCACTATCGATTGCCTGATAAATGTTGGTCGGCTTACTTTGCAAAGAATGGACTCAGGGAGTTTTCTTCGTTCAAGACTGCCGTATCCAAAACCTTCGAAGATATAAGTAAAGCTTGAGATGCGTTTTTGTGCTTGAGGAGATTGAAAAACTTCATAGCACATAATTTTCTTGGACTTCTTTTTTTGGCTCAACAGGCGTCTACCATTATTGTATACCTAGTAACCGCTTGGTTTTTTTGGTGTCTGTGCTCATTATACGCTGGGTCTTATGTTTCTCGTCTTGTTTTTCCACAAAACGAACATCATTGGAGTGATACGTTTGTAGAGGTAGTTTTGTCGAATTTTTATGCTTGTCAGTGCTCGTTTTAGTTTCAAACAAGAAGTATTCCGTTTTAAAAGGCTTATCGTTTGTCTGCTCATGTTCTGTCGGCCTAGCTGCCAAGTCTCGTGTTTTTCATGTGCTGATAGCGATTTTCGTTTTAGTTTTATTTTTTAATTGTTCCTGTTATTTGTAAACTTGATCTCAATCTAATTTTTGTGTCAAATTTCCTTAGGTTTTTTCAAGTAAAAGTTTTTTTTAGCATCATATGTTCGGCTAGTTTTCATTGCATAGTGACCTTTTTCACCGTTGAAAAGTAGCATGGGAGCGTCGGCCCCTGGGAGTTAACCTAATAATTGTCGGCTTACACTGCTATTCGATAAGAAAACTTCTGAATACTTTTTTAACGCCAGTGGTTGTTTTCTGGACCTTTTTCTTCAAATTGAACCCCATGTTAGACAAAACTAAAAGTTTTTGTAATTGTGGTTTTGGATTTTTCATTGTTTTTTTGACTAAATGGCTTTCCTTCCGTTTTCTGTCTCTAGCTTGCAATGCCCTTTATGCGGAGTATCGCAAGTTTTGATAATTTTTTGGTCTAGAGATTGATTCTGAAATAATGTTTTTTTTTTCATTTCTTTCTGTTTTTTTAATGCAGATAAATGCATAACATTTTTTAGTTGATGGTATTGAGCAATTGATTCTGAGTTTTTTGTTGTTTTGCGTTTGAACCTGCTTTTTTTCTGGTATTTTTGTAAGTTTAATTGATTCGTATGAGTTTATTTGAAAGCTGTTCCAGGTTCAGAGTTTTCTGGATACGAATAGAGTGTCTTTTCGATGTATCAAGTTTTTCAAAATTTTTATTTTGAATGTGGTTTGAATTGCACCAATTTGCAAATCAACATTTTGAATGTTTTACATTCTCAAGTTATATCATATGTTTACTATTGATAATGTGTGCTTCTGGGTCAAATCTTCTTTTTTATATTGTTACACTTGCGATTAGCAAGCGTTATTAAATCAGAGTATTGACCTTTTCAGGTTAATATTGAGTTTCAAACAATCATTTGAGCCATTATTTGGCATATGATGCGATCGAGCGTCCCGGTAACAGATATTTTTGAGCATGTCTGTAATTTAAATTGTTCTCTTCTTTTTTTTTCACGTGCGATAGCAAGTGTGAATCTGATCGGGATAGATTTTTCACATAACTAATTTTTTGTACAAATCTGTACGAAACATGTTTTTTTTACAGCAAGGTCAAGTGCTGATTTAAAATAGTCAAATAACAGCATTGATCTGGCGACTTGTTGATCATGTTAATAATCGACAAATTACACATGCTAATAGACAGAAAAACGATTGGAAAAAAACTTGGATTTTTTGGATTTATGGTTTTTGTTTTATCTTATGTCCGCTCAATTTTCGTTTTTTTTTGAAAAACTGCTGTATTATCCAGTACAGCGTGTTAAGTACAATTGAGGCTACGTTGACCGTATTGAGAGCTTGCTGAATATTAGAGTTAATCATGTTTTTGGATTCATTGTTTCAGTTTTTGACGGCTAGGTTCCGGTTAAGTCTTAATTTTTTTCTAATTGTTTTTAAATAGTTTGGATTTTTCAGCAGCTGAAGTTCGCACGATTGAAATATTTATTTTTACTTTTTTCATCTTTTTGTTGGCTATTCTCCTCAAAAGTTTAGAAATAACAAAGAAATATTTTTGATGCCTGAGGTTTTAAATAGTTTTTTCGAGTAGCAAGTTTTATCAAATTGAAACAAAGACCTTCTTCCAGAGTAACAATTTGTTTAGTAGAATCGCAAACCGTTAGACATCTTGGTCATAAACAAGTTAAATTTTACTTCTTATGATGCATGCTTAGCGTGGTGATAATGTACATGCTATGCTTGTCACTACGAAGATTCAGGGTTCGCTTCCAGGAAAGACCCCTTTTTTGCAAGTTGATTTTTTTGCAAGATTTTTTAGCATGAAACGTTTTTTGCAAAATTTTTAAGCATGAAGCTTTGACTAGATTCAATTGTTCCGGCTTTTGTTTTATAAGCAGGTTGACCTAGTTTTGCTTTGTTTCAATGGTCAAAACAGATGTTTCTATATTTTGTTTTTCACGACAACAATTAAGTTTAGATCAAGATGTGAGAAGAGGTAGTTTAAAAACTGTCTTCAAAGAGTTTGACAGAGATACCAGAGTTGATGCAGCAGGGTACGAGTTGCTTGTCACTTTTTTGTCCAGAATTGAGCCCAAGAAGATCTAAGAAAAAGTTGAAAACTTAAGAACCCGCCGCCCCACTTAGTCCCAATTTATGATTCGTCGAATCGATAAAATTTTGCTGTTACAGTGCGAAGTAATACTGGCCCTTGTTTAGCGTCTTTTTTCTCCTGATTGCTCAATTGCTTTTTTATTGCATCGTTTCATTGCGTTTACACTGGAACTTTTCAGTTGTCATTCACACTTGAATTTTTCAGTTCTCATTCATTAAATAAAGTTTGTTTATGGGTTCCAGTTTACTTTCAAGACCGCAAATTGAGTTCAAAAATGTTTCAGTAGCTGAGCTGATTCTGTAGAAAAGTACTGGTATCTCTGGCTTAGAGCTGCAAATTTGGCTTTAGCCCAAAAATACTAAAATGAAGTTTTTGAAAGTTGATAAAAGAAGAGAAAACATTTTTTTTCTTTTCAAGTTCACTTTATTTCATTTTTAATTGAAAGCCAAATTGAAAGCTGAAACAATTGACAATAAGTTGATTACATATTTCTAAAGTTATTTTATTTTAAGATTTCGAAGCGAAAAAAACCCCTATACTCCAGTTTTCTAAAATCGAGTTGTTTTCTTTCGAAAACTCAACAAGCAATACTTTTTATAATGAAGGAACTTCAAATTAATACTTTTGGCTCTCAATAACTGGAAAATGGGTAGAAATATTTCTTTAAAGTTTTCTTTTGAATTTATGGAAACTGTTTCAACTTGTCTAGTCGGTTCGCAGTATGAAAATTTTTAATCGCTCAAAATTTTTCTGTTGACAATTTTCTTTGGCATTTTTAATTTGGATATAGTGGCGTCTAACCACATGGTGTCAGCTTAGTGATAGCTTGAAAAATACTAAAATGTGTTCAATGCTAGTGATTGTGTTTCTTCTGTGTTTTTTGAGATAGAGTTTTTCGTATTTCCAAAAATATATATATTTAATTGTTTATGATACAAATTTTCTTCGACACTTCTTTGTTTTTGGATTAGTTGGCTTCTAATCACGTGTTGTTGACTAATTGAATGCTTGGAAAATAATAAAAGCTTGTTTAATGGTAGTATTTTGTTTCTCTGAGAACAATTTCCTGTGACATTTTTTTGTTTTCGGATCTATTGGCGTCTAATCACGCGTTGTCAGCTTAGTGAACGCTCTGAAAAACTAAAATTTGTTCAATACTAGTGGTTGTGTTTCTTCTCTGTTTTTCTGAGATACGATTTTCCGTATTTCAAAAGAAAAACTTTTTATTTATGATAACATTTTCTTTCTTTTCATTTTTGTTTTCGGATTAGTTGGCTTCTAACCACGTTTTGCTGGCTTAGTGAACGCTCGGAAAATACTAAAAGCTTGTTTAATGCTAGTGACTGTGTTTCTCGTCTCTTTTTCCAAAAGTATTTGATTTTTTTTTCAAGTTTTTTTAAGACATAAATTTCCTTCGACATTTCTTTTGGTTTTCGGATCAAGTGGCGTCTGAGCACGTGTTGTTGCTTAAGTGAACGCTCGGAAAATACTAAATACTTGTGTAATGCTAGTGGTTGTAGTTTTTCTCTGGTTTTCTTAGATTGAATTTTTCGTTTTTCCAAAAGTTTTGTTGTTTTTCAAAAAAAAATTTCGACTTATTTAATTGCAGCTCACTGTCTATTTGGTCACAACTTGCAATGCTATGCTTTCGTAATATTGCAAGTAATGTCAAGTTCTGCCTCGCGTGTGTTTAATTTTTAGTTTAATGCGACGGAAGCAACACTTGGATTGTAATAGCAGCACACCAAAATTGTACTAAAATTTCTGTATCGAACTATTCTTAATTTTTTGTAGTTGGAAGATTCAAACTAGTCAGAGCTGTATCTTTTCAATGAAAGTGCATCCATGCCTGGAGATTAGGTCTATATAAGTGAAAATTGTTCCACATGAATAATATTGACAATAATTTAGACTACAAGACACTTTGCCGACATAGTTTTTCTCAAATGATCAATTTTTTAAAAACTGCAGTATGCTATAGCCTATAGCTGATGAAGCAGCTTTTAACTTTTTTTCAAATACCTATTTGACAGGAATTACATAAAATACATAATAATTATCTAAAATTATGCCTAAATCGACTAAATATAATTTTCGAGTAATACAGAATTGAATTTTTTTTTTATAAATCCTATTTAACGCGCATAGTTTTCGTATTTTGCAAAATTAATTTCAAAATTAATGCGCATTCTACAAAATAAGACGTCTTCTGAATGTTAAAGAACTCGTCTTAACATTTTCCGTTTTAATTGTCTGACACCGGTGAAGTGAAGATAAGCTGCACGATTGAATGTTGCTGTGATATATCAATGTTCCACCTTCGAAAAAAGGGAGGATAATCATAACTGGGTTTTTTTCAAAAGAACTGTACAAGCATGATAGCTGTGTTCCAGGAAAAAGCAAGTAGGAAAAATGGGTCTTGCAATTTTTGTGAAAAAAAAACGTTAAAAAATGCGAACCATTATCTAATTTTTTTCTTGGAGCCATCTAAAATTAAGTCACCAAACTATCTGCCTCATACTAAAAAAAATGCTGATATGTGTATTATCCCAGACTACAAACAAAATCCAAATTGAATTGGAGCAAAATCCAAATTGAATTGGAGCAAGCTAATTGGTCGTTCAAGGATTAAAACTTGACACTATCAGCCCCAAATTCACAGTTTGTCAATATTTTAATTACGAAAAACTATTGAAAACGAGTTGGAGCCGTCGGAATTAACATTCAAGGTTTTGCCTTGATGTACCTGCAGTCTTGTTTACCTAAGGAAACAGCTGGAAGTAGTTTTATTTCGAGCTGTTGACGGTACTTTGTCAGGGCGTATTGTATTATTGTAGATAATTTTTCAGCGTGATTTTAAGATTTTCTTTAAAATTCTGATTATTAGAACTTCTGAGGTTTTCTTGACACATTGGTTCTGTTCGTGGTACTTTCAAGTTGGGCTTTGTGTTAGACAGTAAGAAGATTTATAATGACGGGTTGATTCAAGCTTTTCCTTCTACATAATTTACTTCTAAGCGGCTTTCATTTGGTGGATTTAACTGCTACGTCAAACAATTAGCAAAAATTTGTCTACCTAAGTAAAACTATAAACAATCAAATCAAATTTTTTTCTAGACCTGACAGATTTGTATTTGGTAAACAAATTAAACTTTTGAGCTGTTTTAAGTTCTTTTGAAAGTAAAAGAAGATTTCTTATCTATTAAGTAGTGTTTGGTGAATTGACAAGTCTTCGTGATAAATTTTATAGGTAGTTCCATAAAGTCACTTTTGCCTTTCGTTGTTCAAATTCAGTCGTATAAATTCAATCAGTTTTCTATTCAAAAATAAGAAAATGAACTTTTGTGTGCTTTTTGTGTTCATTTTTCTTTTTGAAATTGTCAGTTGTTTCAATTTGAACAAGCAACTAGTACCTGACTCTGTAGAGATAATAGATGGCTACAATGTTAAGGAGGGCGATTACGGTTTCATGGTAAGTGTGCAGATAATCTATGGGCACATATGCGGAGGTTCCATATACAATCGTCGAACAATAATAACAGCCGCTCATTGCATTGACGCTTATTACAATTATTACATCCTAGCTGGAGTTTTAGATGCAAATAATCGAACTGGAGGTCAATATATAAAAGTAGCTAGTTATGTGAAGCATCCAGATTTCATAAACCCGAAAAAAGGCAACGACATTGCTCTGCTTTTCCTAGAAACAGAATTGGTAGAAAGTGAATTGGTCAGGCCGATTGAGTTGCCTAGAGTACACTTACACGCTGGTGAAATTGCAACTGTTCTCGGGTGGGGTTCGACCGAACCGAACACAACTTTAAGCGGCAGTCAGAATTTTCTGCAAAAACTAGACGTGCGAGTAGTATCGGTAGACTTCTGCGAATCATTCTATGACCCCTCTAAATATGACATAACTGAAAATAATATTTGCACAGGGAAGAAAGATTTTCTAGGGGGTGTGTGTAACGGGGATAGTGGGGGCCCCCTTTTGAAGATGCACAGGAGTTATAATCCATCTTATGGCTTTTTTTGGATATGGAAACTGTTTGGAATTACGTCGTTCGGAGAGCCTGGGTGCGACCATCACAAGCCAGATGTTTATACAAATGTCTTTAATTTCAAAGACTGGATTAAAGACAATGCCATGCCCAATGATGAAAACTACTCAAACAACTTACTCTAGCTATCCCAAAAAACTTCTTGTTATACTGATTATATATTCTGATTATACTCTGTATATTCTGATAAATTAGATTAAATTCTCCAATTGTAAATTTATATTTGACAAATTAGGTGATAAATTAATTTAGGTGATAAAGCAGTTGGCATCAGGCGAGCATCTAGAAATTTCTCGAGGGAGGGGGGGGGGGGCGAATTTTCAAAAAAAAATTAAAAACTTTGTCGACCTTTTTTTTAGGTCGACCAAATTGATTTTCTGAGCTCCCCCAAACCACTATAAAGACCCTAATTAGACCAAATTTTCTGCGGCGAAGGCAAATTTTTGAAAAAAGGCGTTTTTAGGCACTTATTGGAAAATTTCGACCAAACAATTGCGTTTTTTCGGCGCGCGCTCCCCCCTCAAAATTAGTATAGATTGGCTCCTTCAGAAAAATTTGGCTCCCACCTCCCCCTAAATCCGCTACTCGTTGAAATTGTTTTAGAGCAAAATTATTTGATGTTCAAATGAACGAAGTAATGGATCATCCAATTTTTATTCCACGAGGAAACTTATGCCAGACATGTGATTTGTTATACATTGTCTGAATTTATTGAATTCAACAAAGGAAGATTTAATATCAAAAGTTTCATAATTCAACGTGTACTCAAAATCATTCAAATAATAACTCTAGTTAAAAAATTTTACTCTATAATTTGAAATATTTTTCATCAAATGCTATCAAACTGTCAAATTGTTGTAATTTATTATACAAAACGGAATAATTTAAATCAGTTTCATTGAATACCATTTTTTTCAGATTCAAAGTTTCAAATACAAAATCAGTGTTTAACACCAAATCAAAGTGTCAAATACAAGCAAAAAAAATGAAAATAAAAAATGTAGCAATGTTTTGTGTCCCTGGTCCAAGGGGATGGTCCAAGCCAAAAGGAACGTCCTTATTTAATGATCAAATATAAAGAAGGAGTTTGTTATACTGGGCGAATTCCCCATCTTCGTTTATGTTAATTATACCCAGAGACCCACATTTAATTGAAGAAAATGAATTACTTCTCTCAAAATTATTCTGGCTCTCAACAAAAAAGTAGATGATTCCAGTTTTTTCGATTTTTAAGAAATCGATGTTTCTTTCCATTTTTAATTAAAAATTAAAATTAATGGTTTTCTGAAATTTAGGAATATCTTTGTCAACTATTTACTCATTAATGTTTGGAATTATTATAAATGTTCTAAAGAAGATGCCTCCTATCAGGACATATATCTGAAAGCTCCGACTGCACTGTAGAGCTTTTTCGACAACTTAAAAATAAATTTTTTCGTTTTTAAGTTAACACAAGCGAGCTTGCCAGCGTAGTGTAATTTAACAAATCGAAATTTTTTTTTCTAATTCAACACGCATTGAAAGTGCCGATTTGATTGTACTTCAAGCATTGGCAATTCAAAAGTATCCGTCCTATTGTTTCCTTTGTGGCTAGTGCTGACATATTTTCAAGAGACAAGGATGCAGATGAAAGGACGTGAATCTTCCGGCACATAGCAAAAGTTTCAGATTTCTAGGCTCATTTTGACTTGTGTTATTTTCTCTCTATTTTTTGTCTTTTTTACTGCTTTTTGTCATTTTCTTGTTTGTGTTTCCGAAGTGCAACTTCGTCACTGTATGAACTGCAACTTACTGTAGCAGCAAACTATTTGGATCAATTAGCTCGCCTCCGAGCAATATCGAACATATTCTGAGCTGGATTAAAGAGCTGCTACTCGGCACTAAGTTTTAAAAATACGCTGAATTGCAAAATTGTTGGTTTACAAAGTAAGATCACGTGAATTGTCGTTTTGATTTTTAGCTTAGCATCAATGGTTTTAAGATTGCATAACAACCGATCCGTTTTTTTTTATTTTAAAAAACCATATGTGCAAATATTCAGATGCCTTCTGTACCGTTTTCTCAACCTCGTCAGTTTTGGCTGCGTTGTTCCATTGTTTCAAAGAAACAATTGGCAATTTTCAAACCCACGTAATTTTCAAAAATGAAGCACAAATGATCAAACAATTTCAATTGAGATCAAGATGATTTTGAATAAGTGATTTCCAGTAAGTTTCAGTTGATTCTAAAAATTCACTCACGAAAGAATTAATTTTCTAAAATCTCGCTAAATGTCCTCGGCTTAGTCTGAGCAATAAAGGCACTAACTGAGAATTAGTTGCAGCTGGAAGCATTTTTTTTATGATTAGAACGTTGCGAAACACACGATTCCGAGCTTTTCATAATCTTCGGGCTTAGCCCTTTCTAGATCATCATAGGATCCACAGTGCTAAAAGAGCTGCGCCAATTACCTCAAAAGCAAATTCAGGCAAGCTCATTTTTACGGACTGTATTTTAAACAAGCATCACAGTATCTTGTAGAACACGAGTGTTCGCGCCTGTTCCACTAACATAGAATTGAAAACAAGGAATGGGCCATAAAATTGACACCAAACACAAAAATGGCAGTTTCCGTACCCCCATAGTGTTACCAAAACTCGGAGTTTCCAGGTGGATCGAAAAAAAATTTCCTCAAGAATCGTTTTTTTAGTAAAATAAAACACGCTAAGCATAATTATTCTGTCATGTTCTTCAAAATTCAGAACGAAAATAACCTCGATAAGCTTGGCTGCGTTGTTGCATTTTTTTCTGGCAAAATTGGCAATTTTCAAACGCACATAGTTTTTGAAAAAGAGAACAGGTGAAATAATTTTTGGTTGATGGCTGAGCTTAGGTTATTCATCGTATTCAGTTGATAAACAGATTCACCCAAAATCATTTTTTATGAGAAAAATTGGGCTCATTGTTAAAATTCTGCCACTCTCTACTAAAAACGGAACGAAAAAAGTTTTGTCAAAATTTCCCGGTGCCCGATGTGCCATATTTAATAGATAAAACTGATGATTTTCAAAGAGTAGAAAAGTTTTATCTTTCACCACTTTCCGGTTTTGGTATTAGATTAAATTAATGCTGCGAGTTTTTTTGTACATTTAGTAGCTTTAAACTTTAAAGCGAATTTGACTCTTTTCAGTTACTCGGAAAAAGATTCCAAGACATTCTACCCTACACGAATCTACCCTAAGCTAATCTACCCTTTACTAATCTATTCTATCTTCCAAACTACCCAATACCAACAAATCAAAGATTCATAAACTGAGACCAAAAAATAGTTGCCTGACGTGAACAAAATATCAAAACAACGTAAAAGTTGCTTGTTCAAAATGGAAATGAGTTCAAAGCCTGAATGAACAGAAACTATACTCCGACTTTACTATAGAAATGCGTTGAGGTTATTTTTTAACGAGCAAAAGTCATGTCACACCTAGTCGACATAAATTAGTTGTTCGAATAATGCATATGTTTTAAAATCGAAAGGAAAGTTCGCTAACTCAACTCATCATCAAATTTGGGTGGGGGGGGGGGGGGGGGGTGAGGGCAGGGGCGGATTTAGGGGGAGGCGGGGGGGCAGACGCCCCCCTCCCTCCTTAGGGATTCGACCCCCTGCCGACCCAAAGGGTCCCCCTTTGATACTTTTTCAGACATCCATTTTTGGCCGACCGACCCTAAAATTTTTCTAAATATATATGTATAATATGTATATATACTAACTTTTAGGGGGAGCGCGCGCCAAAAAAACGCGATTTTTTTGTCAAAATTTTTCAAAAAGTGCCCAAAAACGGTGCCCAAAAGTGCCCAAAAAGTGCCCCAAAATTTAGCCAAAATAGGGAAAAAACAGTGCTTTGGGAGAGCTCGAAAAATCAATTTAGTCGACCTAAAAATAAATCGTCAAATTTTTGGAAAATTTTTTGAAAATACGCCCCCCCCCCCCCTCGAGAAAATCCTAGATCCGCCCCTGGGTGAGGGAGAAGGATTTTTTCTTTGTTATTGGCCTCCATCACCTCCTTTGGGGGCGGGGGGGTGAGAGAGAAGGAAATTTTTTATAATGGCTTCTATCATCTCCTTGGTGATGTATCGCAAACGTAGATAATGTTTACCGACCGTTCCGTTTCCCCTCGCAGGGCTTTTGAAGAACTCATTCAATTTTATTGCTATTCGGATCAGATAAAATTTCCAGTTTTTCACGAGCAGTATTCTTCTAATCTTGACTGGTTCCTCAGTGCGCTATTCTTCAGAGCATAAATCGTGAATGAAAAATTAAACAAAAAGATTGAAGATTTCCAATTAATTATCTGGGGTTCAAAACTATTGCGCTCAAAACAGGTATCAAGTTAACAACCTTCACCAAAACAGACAATCAGAATCAATCATTTTACAAACAGAGCTCAGCAGCCAGTTTTTCCAAGTTAAAACTTAAGGAGAAAGATCCAAGCTTGGTCAAGTTAGAGAGGAGGCTGTTGATTTTAACCCAAAACGATAAATAGATTGGAAAAGTTTCGAAGCACTCATGCGACAATTCTGTGAAAAAAATAGCCAGAAGCACGCATAAAAACGTTTTTTTTTTTCATGCAAGCTTCTGAACAATCCCACAAAGAAAAATTTTTCTCTCGCTCGGATAAAGTTGACATACTATATGCTCTAATTGCAATATTATCTCAAGGAAAGCTTGTACTATGCAAACTCGTGATCAATTTTTTGGAAATCGACTTTCAAAAAACTTCGTTAAATGTTGTTATTCCGGTCCTAAAACAATAAGAAATAAAAAAAATTACCAGAAAAATTTAAACCTACTTATTGCTTTTCTTCAGACTAGTTTATAAAGCATTTGCTCAGATGCTAGCTTTCCTTTTTAAGTTAATTAAAAATAAGAGCTATTTTGAACACGGTGAATTTTTTTTCTGGTGTTTTTTTTTCAAAATTGCTGCTGAAAAATCGAAAATCGAATAAGAGTTTAAAAATTGAAACAATTTTTGATTTAGCAAAATTTGAATATTTTTTATTTTTAAAAAATCATATTTTTTGGTCTTGTTTTTCAAATCTCTTTTTTTTTGAAATCACTAGCCTTTTTAAAACACAGTTTTTTCACACA